GCGTTGGCGTGCACAGGCGCACTGCCAACGTCTACTCGCAGCGGGTACTGATCACACGCGGTACCTGCTGCGCATTACCTGTATCACCCGCCCACTGGCTGCGGTGCCGGGTGACTGCTGGGCGTGGCTGCCGCTATGTGCGGATAGCGTGGCCTACGGTCGACCCTTGCCGGCCGTTCGGCACTAACTCCCGAGCACTCTGACTTCACTGAACATAATTTAATATAACATAACCTGATCGCTGAATTAACTGAAAAAAAATACTACTTTCGCATGATGAACTGAACGGGCCGTGACGAGCGCGCCGACGGCGATATGCCGTCTCTCGACCGAAACATCTTTTCCCTCGGCAACTCCAGACCAATTAAACATGAAACATCATTTGAAAGTTATTGGGACATAAATCGCACGGACAATCTTGACTCTAACTGAAAGTAACATGATAGGACTTGGTGCCGCCCGTGGCCACGCGCGATGAGCGCTGACCACGGCTTTGAACCATTTAACAAATAAAACCACATTTTTCCTCGACCATCATCAAGTAACTGAACATAAAATGAGGTAAACTGATCATTTAAACGTAAATGGTTCGAGAGTTGCCGGTTAAAACAAGAAGTTACACGATTACGACTTAACTAGGCATTAACCGAACCTATAGCCGTGAACTCTTGAACATGATTCGAACATTAATACCTAAAATGAACTTATTGTCATGAAAAAGGGTTGAGGATGGCTATACCTCCTTAAGTGCTTGTCGGAATATAGCAACCGATCGTGACCTTGCGTGTGTGTGCGCCGTGTGCGATACTTGCCATGCGATACTACTTGTCGTGCGTGCGGTACAATTTAACTAAGGCAATATGTTGGAATACTTACTGCTGAATTAAGGATTAAAAATAAGACTATAAGGCTGCATATATGTGGTAAGAAAGGATGGAAAATTTTTCCAAACTCCACATCTATATAGACGACCCAAAATGAGGACGGATGATGTAGTGAAGGCGTGGCCTTATTAGGCATTGCACATTTGCTACTTAGCTAGTGACTAAGATGGGTTAGTCATCCCAAACACACCTCTTAATGCCACGTAGTCAATACTTAAGAAGGAAGAAAGTTTGGTTTCCTTAGTACTTAGGAAAAAATGTATAAAATTTGGAATCATACACCATTATGCGTACGACTTTAAGCCCTAATGCATAGGATTAATGCTAATTAATCATCTCTTATGTTTAATTATTTAATTAAACATAATGCTTAATTACCAAAATTATTTCGAACGTAAACGGTACGTCGAAAATAATTTTTGGTAATCCCGACTGAAAATAATTAATTCCAAAAATTAATACTTGACAAGATTAATAAATCGGAATTAAAACATAACTTATACTGATAAAATAACGGGATATTACAATCCTCCCTCCTTACAAAATTTCCGTCCTCGGAAATTCAAAACATAGTTGATAATACATGAACTATGTACATGAAACATAAATATGTACATCAAAACTGAAAGTCTGGAAAACGAGCGCGAATATCGGACTCCTCCTCCCAAGTAGCTCCGTGGCGATCCCACTGAATACGCACGAGGGGAATATCTCGCTTCCGGAGCCGACGAACCTGACGGTCTAGTACAGCCACCGGTCGCTCCTCGTACGATAGATCTGGCTGAACCTGAATATCCGCATGAGGAATAACATGATCGGGGTCGCACACGTATCTACGCAACATAGATGCGTTGAAAACATTATGAATGCCTGATAACTCGGGAGGTAGGGCTAATCGATAAGCGACCTCGCCTTCTCGTTCGAGAACCTCGAACGGACCGATGAATCGAGGGTGCAACTTTCCTCTCTTTCCAAATTGAACGACTCCGCGAATCGGATGAACTCTGAGAAAAGCTGGCTCGCTGACCTCGAACTGAATGTCTCGTCGATGATGATCGGCGGAAGATTTCTGTCGACTCTGAGCTGTCCTGAGTCTCTGCCGGATCAACTCGACCTGACCTGCCGTTTCCTCGATCAACTTAGGACCGAGTACTCGTCGCTCTCCGACGTCGTCCCAATAGAGAGGGGAACGACACTTGCGACCGTAAAGTGCTTCGTAAGGAGCCATCTGAATGGAAGAATGATAGCTGTTGTTATACACAAACTCTGCATACGGCAACAACGACTCCCACTTAGCACCTCTGTCAACAACCAAAGCACGAAGCATATCCTCAAGCGTCTGAATGGTCCGCTCTGACTGACCATCTGTCTCCGGGTGATAGGCTGAACTGAACTCTAGCTTCGTGCCCATCGCCTCATGTAAACTGTGCCAGAATCGACTGACGAATCTGGGATCTCTGTCAGATACGATCGTAACGGGCACTCCGTGGAGTCGGATAATCCCACGGGTATATATCTCAGCCAACTTGTCCAGAGACATCTTCATCGAAACGGGTAAGAAATGAGCAACCTTAGTCAATCTGTCGACCACGACCCAGATAGCGTCGTGATGTTCAGAAGACCTCGGTAATCCCGTAACGAAATCCATCGTGACTTCCTCCCACTTCCACCTCGGAATCGGCAGTGGCTGCAGGAGGCCGATCGGACCCTGATGTTCGGCTTTGACTTGCTGACAGGTAAGACATCTCCTCACGAACTCGGCGACGTCCTTCTTCATGCCTCGCCACCAGAACGACCCTTTCAGGTCGTGATACATCTTCGTGCTCCCGGGATGGGCCAGATAGGGTGCGGTATGAGCTTCTGATAAAATCTCCTTCCGCAACGCCTCGACCTTCAGGACCACGATCCTGCCCCTGAACTCTAGAGCAACATCGGCACCTAGCTGAAAACCCTCTACGCCTCCGGCGCGAACCTTGGCCTCCATAACGCGAATGAACTCGTCAGAAGCCTGCTCCCGCCGGATTCTCTCTCTCAGCGTCGGCTGAAGCTGCATGGCACTGACACTGGCACTGGTACTCCCCGAAACGGCTATGGGAAGTGCATCGATCGCCTGAAGCTGCATCCGGGCAAACTCCTGAATCAACGGACTCTGTTGAGTAATAACGTACGTCAAGTCAGCCCTCACCTTTCGGCTTAGGGAATCCGCGACGACGTTCGCCTTTTCCGGATGATACTGAATAGAGCAGTCGTAATCCTTGACAAGTTCGAGCCAACGGCGCTGTCTCATATTAAGCTCTTTCTGCGTGAAGATGTACTGCAGGCTCTTATGATCTGTGAAAATCTCGCAACGTCCGTCGTAAAGATAATGTCGACAGATCTTGAGAGCATGAACGACTGCTGCTAACTCCAAGTCGTGCGTCGGATAATTCTGTTCATGAGGCTTAAGCTGACGTGAAGCATACGCAACGACCTGGCCGTCCTGCATAAGGACACATCCCAAGCCCTGTCTCGAAGCATCGCTGAAGATAGTGAAACTCCGAGAAGGATCGGGAATAGTCAACACCGGTGCTGAAGTTAACCTCCTCTTGAGCTCCTGAAAGCTCGCCTCACAACGATCAGTCCACTCGAACTTCACAGACTTCCTCGTCAGCTGGGATAGAGGGAGGGCGATCTTAGAAAAGCCCTCGATAAACCTGCGGTAATAGCCAGCTAAACCGAGAAAACTACGAACCTCGAACGGACTCCTCGGTGTCGACCAGTTCTGAATAGCTGAGACCTTGGAAAAATCCACCTCGATACCTGCCTGAGTAATCACATGACCCAGAAAGGATACTCGCTGGAGCCAGAACTCGCATTTGGAGAATTTTGCAAACAACTTTTCTCGTCTAAGGGTTTCGAGAACCACCCTCAGATGCTCCTCGTGCTCTTTCTGGCTCTTCGAGTAAATAAAAATATCGTCAATAAAGACAATAACGAACTGATCGAGGTAGGGATGGAAGATACGGTTCATGAGGTCCATGAAAACAGCTGGCGCATTGCTGAGACCGAATGGCATGACGACGAACTCGTAATGGCCGTAACGAGTCCTGAAAGCGGTCTTAGCGATATCTGACTCCTTAATCTTCAGCTGGTGGTAGCCTGATCGCAAATCAATCTTTGAGAACACACAGGCTCCCCTCAGCTGATCAAATAAATCGTCGATCCTGGGAAGCGGGTACTTGTTCTTAATCGTCAACCGGTTAAGATCCCGGTAGTCGATACACATGCGCATGGATCCGTCCTTCTTCTTAACAAAGAGAACGGGTGCTCCCCACGTTGACACGCTCGGTCGGATGAAACCGAGTCGTAACAACTCCTGAATCTGAGTCTTAAGCTCCTGCAACTCCTTAGGCGCCATGCGGTACGGGGCTTTGGATACTGGACCGGCCCCTAGAATAAGATCGATAGAGAACTCCACCTGCCGGTTAGGCGGTCCTCCTGGAAGCTCGTCTGGGAACACGTCCACGAATTCGCGAACAATTGGAACATCATGAGGTGAGCGTGCTTTCTGAGATTCGTCGACAAGGCTCACCAGATAACCCTGGCAGTTGCCTCGTCGCAGTAACTTAGTGGCTTTCGCCATCGAAACAACATGAGGCAGTGAACGATTCCTGGAGCCGAAGAAAGTGATCGACTCGTCTCCCGGAAGATGGAGAGTGATCTCCCGGTCATGACACCTGATGTCTGCATGATAGAAGAATAGCCAATCCATTCCGAGAATAAGGTCGAAGTCCCTCATCTCGAGAACAAACGCGTCGGTAGACATTACTCGGCCACCGATGGAAAGGCTAAGATCTAACGCTTTAGCTGAGGTCACTATCTTTCGTCCCGAGGCTAAACTCACCTCAAGAGGATCGACAGCGGTAACGGCATGAACTCCGATGGCATCAAGACATCGTCGTGATATGAATGAATGCGTTGCTCTAGTATCGAACAAAGTGAAAACATGAATATCATTAAGCACAACCATCCCTGACATAGTACCTGGCTGCTGTGCGGCCTCCGCCTGATCAACCGCGTAAACCCGGGCCTGCTGTCTGCCCCTCTGCTGCTACTGCTGAGGCGGCCTCTGTGCCTGCTGACGTGGCTGCTGCTGCTGTGGTGGCTGCGGAGGCTGCTGAGGCTGCTGCTGAAGTCTCTTCGGACAGCGACTCGCAAAATGTCCAGGCTCGTGGCAATAGTAGCAGATATCCTGACCCATGTGGCACTCTCCCCGATGAAGTCGTCTGCAAGTCGGGCACGGTGGAACCTGCTGCTGTCTCTGTCGGGTCCTCCGGTCAGTCTGTGTGCCCTTCCCCTTTCTCTTCTTCTCCTTCGCTGGCTGAGGAGCTGGTAGAGCTGGTGGAGCTGCGAATGGCTGAACTGGGGCGGATGGCTGGGCACGATCACGGACGGCCTCCCTCCTGATGCTAGCGTCCACCTCCTGGGCGATAGAAACTGCGCGAGCGTAGGTCTGAGTCCCGTGTCCCACGATGTTATGACGGACTACTGGGAAAAGCCCGTCGATGAACCGCTGCGCTCTCCGAGCCTCCGTGCGAACCAGGTCCGGTACGAAAGCTGCAAGTCTAGTGAACTCTCGCTCGTACTCATCAACCGTACGAGTGCCCTGCTGGAGCGCTAAGAACTGACGCTCCATCTCTGCCAGATAATAAGAGGGGTAGTACTTTTCGCGGACTAGCTCCTTGAGCATATCCCACTTACATCCCGCTTTTTCACCGGGACGCATGCTCCAGTAGGCATTCCACCAGAGCCTAGCATCACGAGTGAGCTGAAGCTGAGCGCAGATTACGCGAAATCTATCGGGGCAGTCCATGACCTCAAAGATAAACTCTAGGCCCTGAATCCATTCATCTACGATGCGGGGATCTCCCTGTCCTGAGAACTTTTCAGCGTGATAGTCGCGAAACTGGCGGACTACAGTAGCCTGAGTAGGAGCCTGATGATCGGGTTCCCTACGTGGCGGCATATGAACATTGAGAAAGTTTAACATTACTGAATACGTGATAACATTCTGGCTGATTACTAAGGCACACAGATCTCTTGACGAGTTGCCAAAAATGGCCGATAAATACTGACATGAATCCTGAGGAACTCTAGAGTCATATCGAAAGATACTAATTTCTAGAGTCATATCTGAATGCCCTGATTCTAAAGTCCGATCCTGATTCGAGCATCTTAACTAAGGTCCTGATCCATAATTCTGAGCATAGACAAAGTAATATCTTTATAATTGAAAACATAAATCAGCACTTACCTGTCGTCGGCAGGGCGTGAGCATGACAGTTCAGGTTTTTCTGAAAAATTACTGACTGAAAAACTTTTCAGAGACGCAAAAACGTGCTCTGATACCAATTGTAACACCCCACCTTATCGTAAAATCAGAGTGCAAAAATTTCGCAAGTCTTTTAAAAATAAATCTTTTACTTTGCGAAAACTGATTCGGGGTGCTACCTTAAAAACGTGACTTAATTTGGAAAACCGTTATCTTAATTTTTAATAAAATTATACGATTACTGAAAACATAGTTTTTCCAAAAATCCAGTCAAAATATAAGTTCGTCAAAACCATAAATAGCGGAAACGTGAATCGTCATAATATATATACAGTCAAAATATAAAAGTCCTGAAGCCTTCGTCATCTCACGCTCCCTGCCCGACATCCTGACCTGAAAAACATGATAAAAGTGGG